AACAATTTATAGCAGTGAGTATGTATCAGAAATGAATAACAACAGGTTCAGTCGATACCCCCCACAGCACACCTGGCAGGGGGAATGTGGGTCTTCGCAGCTGAAGGCTAGCTCTTTCCAGTGGGAAGGTTCTTTACTCTCAGTCATATCTTAACTCTGAATCATACCTGGATGCCATCCTGGGACTTGACCCTACAACCCTCCTCTGTGTCCTAATCCCCGCCCCCTGCCCCCACTCACCCTGTTTACTGAACAACAGGGAGAAGAGAAGCTCCACCACTCCTTCCTGAGGGTCCCCTCCTCCACAGAGACAGAATCGTGACACCACCTCCAGGAAGAAGGCATTGCAGTACTTCCTTAAGGCTCGGTGCTGCTTCAGGGACGACCTACAGGGGAAGCGTGTGGACAGGGCTGTGTCTGGCAGGGAGCTTAGCAGGAAAATTGGATGAAAATATTTCCAATTTGTCCAAGTGCAAGTACAATGGAATGTGCTAATTCCACCCTCGGAGCATAGGGTCAGGAGCATTTTTGAGGGGGTTAAGGGGGATTCAAAACAACAACCTTCTGATTACTACCATAGTGGTCTAACCCGCTAAGCCCCACAGCACCCCCTAGGGGTGCGGGAGGGAACAGTGTGATTGTGGAGGGAGATAAATTTGCAGATGATCCCCACACACCTAAGGCCCTGAGACACGGTGAGCTGAAAGCTGTCTGGCACGAGTGCGCGACACATTGGACAGGACCGCTGATTGTTCTGGATGCTTCTCAGGAGGCAGCTCAGGCAGAAGGTGTGTTCGCAGGTCAGGGCGACCGGCTCCTCCAGCTCCTCCATGCACACTGGACATTTGGTGCCGTACCTAAGAGCAGAACACAGAGCAAAAGGGAAGGACGGGGAAGGAGAAGGCCGCAAACGCAGAAGGCTCCAGCTAACCTTGTCATTAGCCAATGATATGTCTTGAATTGGTGAGTGACAGGTTAGGGGCACACCAGCGGCCAATCATCTTTCAGCTGGGGGCAGAACACCTCTGGTAGCAAGCATAAAAAAGCTTCAGCTAATGGCTGAGCAAACAGCACTGGGCCTATGGAAGCTTTACCTGAAGTCTAGCCGGCCAGTTTCCTCATAGCAGGAGGTCAGGATGCCAATCATTTTTGTTAGTGTGCCTTTGTCCCTCAAGTCAGATGACTGCTGCATTAGCTGTGTATAACAGAAAAAAAACATAGTTTGACATAGTTGAACTTTGACCTTTAACCTGTAAATGATCTTCACCAACCCTCAAGGCAATATATGACTCATCATTCTGTAAAAACAACACGCAAAGCTCCACAGCTGTCAGGCAGTAAGACTGACGGAGGCCTGAAGCCGACTGTCTCTCACCATCTGCAGGTGCCTGCAGGTTTTCAGCGTCAGCTCCTTAAATCGCCGTTCGGTCACTTTCAGCACCACCTGCTGAATGAATGCTGCCACCACGAGAACCCCCCCCCAGGCACCCCTAAGAAAACAGAACAAAACCAAGTACAGTTTTATCCGAGCTAGTAAATTAGACCTAGAATCAGCTCGTACTTTTTCAAGCAGAAAGTACATTCAAGTTAAGAGTTTTGCAATACTTACAAATGCACAGTACCCTGGAATTTTATCATTCAGTTTAATTTATTTTTTCAAAGTATCATCCAAGCAGCTGGTGTTTGGAATGATGACTGTGACCAGCCCGCTTTGTGCTGCTGTTTTAAATTCTGCTTTTTGATATAATTAGAAAAGTGTTTCTGTTATATTGATTCCTGATATAAATGGTCTGTTTATCACAGCAAACATGTTTGAAGGTGTAAACTAACCTGATATTCTCCAGTTGCTGAAGACAGCCAGGACTACAGAGGGCGCTAAAGTTCAATCCGAAGGCACTCTCCACACAGGGCTGTAGCAGTTGCACTCTGTGCAGGAGGGTTTTGTGGTCATCCATGTTCACTTGCTGCACCTCCTCCACACACACACCCAGTGCCAAGATGTCTTCGCACTAATGTACAGCAACACGACAAAGAGTTAAAACACAGTTTGAACACACACACACACACACAGACAGACAGACAGACAGACACACAGACACACACAAAGAAATGTCACAGAGCAGCAGTGATCTCACCATCTCAGGAGGGTCCTTGGGTCCCTCTTGGAGCAGCGTGAGGACTATGTGAGGCTGGAGACGGAGCAACTGCAAGAGCGTGTCCAGCCTGGGGGCAAAGAGCCGCACGGCAGCCTGGATCCAGGCGGGGGAGAGCTCAGGGCTCACCTGCAGATGGCGCTGCAGCTCCGCCATGCAGGCCTGTATCGCCTGTGTGAACACCTGCAGAGTGGGTGGAACAGGGAGGAAGGAGAGGGTTATGGGGTCAGCGTGTGGCTCAGCAGGCGAAGCCTCTCTGCCTGTGTTTGGAAAGATACCCGTTTGAGCCCAGCCTCAGCAAACTAGTCACATGTCAGTGGGCCCTTGAGTAAGGCCCTTAACCCACAGCTCCATGCGCTTCTCTGCCAAGCTGTCTCTCACCTGCATGTGTGTCATGGAGATCCAGATGGGGTAGCAGAAGGAGAATTTCCCCATGGGGATCAATGAAGTGTCATCATTATTATTATTATTATTATTATTAATAATAATCTCCTGGGACATGTATGGTATGATATACAGCACCGCATGCCAGTTAAGGATGCACTACACAGTCTGGCCCCTCCCACTCTAAGGCTGGATCTCAAACAATGACATTAATAACAGTAATCAAAGTCTATTTATTGTACATTCCAGTTCATCCAGGTTCATTCCCCACTCACACAACTATATTTTTAAACTGTAGTGTTTAACTTACATTTTTACCTGTATTTTGCTAATGTCATCTTTAAATGTCTTACATATTTACAGTATAATCTATTTATTACTGATTCCTGTACGATAACCATCAAGATCAAAATTTCATCTCATGACCCGCGATTCATTTAGCTGAAGGTGACAATAAAGGCACTCTGACTCTGGTAATCCTCTGAATCCCCTGTCTGAAGCAGGACCTCCTGCGGAGAAGGACTCACGCACCATCAGGTGCTCCTCCGACGAGATCCTGAAGTGCATCAGCAGGAAGTCCTGCAGGTAGCACCGGCCAAGGTGCGCCGCCTGCGGCCCGGAGAGTCTGCCGATGTGGCCGCCCAGTCTGCTGCCGGCAAACGCGCTGGTAAACCTCAGCACCCTCTGCCTGTCGTCCGCCTGCGTCACTGCGGGGAGGGGGACAGGGCATCTCGAGAAGAATCCACCATGGTGAGCAGATGCCTGTGAAGCCCATGGAGCAGAACGTTGGCCCTGACCTGGCAGAAACTCTGACTCCTCCCACAAGCTCTGGCAGTGCATTCTGATCAGCCAGCTGAAGGGGGCAGCACAGGGGTGCACCTCACCGGCCAATAGGAGGTTACACTGCACAGGGATCTCTTCATCTGCCGGGCTGGGAGTGAATGGGGATGCAGGACACAAATGGCATGAGCAGGAGGTGAAATATAAACGTATTACTCACACAAGGAGTTTTTTTTTTTTGACAAAATGATCTCGGCTATTAAGGTGACCAGAATTTCACCCATCTTAGTCAGACCTTGAATTTTTGGGCATCACCACTTCCAGAGTCTGCTGGTCCTCCAGAATATCTAGCCACAGGCAGACCAGACCCTCATCAACCTCTGCATGGTACAGGAGGTCCAGGTTCGCATCCCGGTCCAGAACCCCCAGCACCAGAGCCAGGACGGGGGTCAGCATATTCTGCAGGCAGCGCCACAGGGTGTGCCTACCGGCGGGACAGAGTCATCAGCCAAGTCACAGCGTTCATCAATGACAAATGATTTCCCATAAGGCTGTGCTGCTGATTCCAGGATCACATGACTCTCTGCCATGGAGGGGGGCAGGAGTACCTGAGCGTGCCTCCCTCCTGCAGAGCGAGCCGCTTCCGGGCCTCCTTGCTCACCCACTCCCTCGGGGAAAGCATCTTCTCCTCTTGCTGAGCAAGCAGCAGTACCAGCTTCCTAATCAGAACCTCCAGGAACCGCGCTGGTACCAATGGGTATAACAAGGACAGCAGCGTTACTACTGATGAGTAGGACCGACGATGCCACTGCAAAGGTGGGTATAACAAGGACAGCAGCGTTACTACTGATGAGTAGGACCGACGATGCCACTGCAAACGGCAGCACAGAGCCTTGAGGCGAGGACGCACTTGGGGGGTGGCCAGGGTAAGTCATGTGACTGTATTCATTTGCATTGATTGGTCCCACATGTCACTTTTCCCTCACAAAGCTTCTTTTTCACAGTACATGGGACCAAGGTCTCATTTATATGTATATGCAGAGTGACAAGCTTAATTGTGGCCCACTGATGGAGGGGGGGGGGGTAGGACCCACCTCCTGGCTGTGCTGCAGAGTCCAGAAGACTAAGCAGCATCTCCACACGCTTCATGCTGCGGGAGGCCTGCGATTCGGGGTCCTTCAGCAGGCACACAGCTCTCTGAATGCAGGACCTCAGCAGGGAAGGTCCATGTAGCTGGGCATGGGGAGCCTGCTGTGACCACACACACACACACACACACACACACACA